ACACACACACACACACACAAACACTAAATCTGTATAGTTGTAAACTGCTTATTTGATAATGATTTATTATTCTTCTTTTCTTTCTTTTTCTTTCTTTCTTTCTTTCTTTCTTTCTTTCTTTCTTTCTTTCTTTCTTTCTTTTTTGGCAGGTTTAGAATGTATGCAATTCCCACAGCTTAAAAAAAGGCGTCTAACTTTTGAAAAAGATCCTAGGAGACATGATGGCCAAACACGTCTCAAATTTTTTTAGAAGAAATGGAAGCTAACATTTCAAGAATCTTATTATTTGCAATACATAAAAACAAATTTAATCTTCTTTTTTAGTAATTTATTTACAATTTGTTTCAATCCTATATGTAATCATTTTTTTAGAAAAATATGGACTTTTTGCCATTTTAGGAATAAGATAACAGTTAAGAGTTTTTTTGGAAAAATGGATGCTATTTATGACAATTACATTAAATCACTACAGTTTAATTATGCATAATCTATATAATTCATTTATATACTCTGTACATAAGAGAAATATATTTGAAATTGCATACAGACTTTGGAAGTTTGGTCAGGGAGTCACCACAGTTGTCAGAATATGATACATCAGAGTTTAGTAGTCTGCCTGTTCAGTTCTACATAGCAGTTGTTATCCCAGTAAATGGGTTAGTATCTGGGCAAGTGAGTCAACGGAGTAAAATCTCAAAACAAAAACAAAACTGGCAGGATCGTTAGATATACTTTCTGCCTCTGTAAGATAGTTTCCCTGATCTCTGCCTTCAGTTATATATAAATCAATGAAACTACAGTGCATAAATCCTGCCAGATATAGATTGATCAGGCAGATGGTATGGAGGACAGACAGTCCTTAAAGTAACTAGGCCCTATAGGTTTTTATAGACAGCAACCAGCACTTGAATCACAAGAAGCAAACTGGCAATCAGCGTAGCTTGCAAACAGATGTGTTAAATGAGGATACCAAAGCAAGCTATCACTGCTCATGCCACTACATTCCAGACTAGCTGAAGCTTCCATGTGATCTTCAAGGACAGTCCATGTAGAGCTCATTGCAGTAATCAAGCCATGAAATGACCAAGGTATGAGTGATATCTGACTTCCACTTACCCACCTTTATTCCTAGGAGGGCTCTCCTAGAACTAGGCATACTGCAGCATAGCAAATCTGCACAAAAGTCTTTATAGTAGTTAATAATAGTATAGCCTTTATTGTCATTGTACATCATATATACAACAAATACATACACACATCTTCCCCAACAGTTATTTCATTGCTCCAACCCTTCTACATTTTGCAAGGTGATGTTGCTACATAAAATACGTCTTTAATGCTCAGTCTTTTAATACTTATAATGCTCAGTTGAAACTAAAATCGTAAAGTCTTTTTCCAAACATTATTATTATTATTATTTATTTATTTGTCTTGTATGCCGCCCACTCCCGAAGGACTCCGGGCGGCTCACAATAGACAAGGGAAAGGGGAAACTAGACAAAGACAACATATTTAAAAACAAAAGCGCAACATTCTCAATTTCCGTGGAGCTGGATATTTCACAGCCCCCCCTCCCCCCCCCCGGCCTGCTGGAGCAGCCAGGACTTGGTGGCTTTGCGGAAGGCCAGGA